AGCCGAGTTCCCCTGGGCCCCACCTGCTGCAGCTGCCGCCGGAGACACCCCCTCACCCCATCTTACAGTCCCACTTGGGACAACGGGACGCGACAGCAGCCGCTTGCCGACCAGTCCGTTGGGTACAGCAACCCAGGGCACGCAAAGGTGTCCAGAAAAACAGGCTGGGAGAAGGAAGTGAGAGGTGCCAGTGTCAGAATCCCGCAGCACCCACCAGAAGAACAGTAACAGCCAAGTTAGCAATAGCAAACAGCTGTTTCCGTGCACTTCTGCATGGAAGCCACAAGAGCACTCTTGAACGGAACTTACTGCAAACCACTCGGGCCTGCCCCGACTGCCACCTGACGAGGTACCTGAGTCCAGACTGGAAGGCAAGTGGAAGGGATGCTCGTGCTGGGAGAGAACCTCGAGAAGGAGGGCTTGAATGGGCCAAACACATAGGAATTCCCTTAAAGATTTTCCTGAATTCTCAGGTTAGAGCTACCGTTAGAAAGGTGGGCTGAGCACACGCATCCGGTCGTTGACGCCTTCGCGCTACGGATGACCGCGGGCCTGCAGACACGCTTCCCAACGAACGTACCTCCTGCGTCCCCACCAAAACCAGCTGCGTGTCGTGTCAGCAGGCTGGCGTCACGCAGGCCCGTACAACCGCGTAAGTAGTTTAAAATTCCAAACACATTACTCACTCTTTTGTGCTGCCTGGCCAATCTTGCCTTAGTCTCCTCCAGCTCTTTGTGAATTTTCAGAACGTGCTTGTTCATCTTACGAATCGTGGAATGTAAGATCTCCCAGATATAAAACCTAGGAAAGACACAAGGCTCAAAACACACTACCCTGGGACAAAAAACTCTACATTCTCTTACGGGAAATCGTGTCGGGGGGAATTAAATAAGCGGTGTACGAGCGGAGGTACAAGTTACATACCCCAGCCCAAGACCAGGACCACACTAACTGGCAGCTACGTTAACACAGAGCAACACTTGGCCCAGAAATCGTTCCAGTGCCAAGACGTACCTGCGCTGTCACGTAACCGTTCATACCCCACTTCAGAAAGAAACACGCCAAAGTGCATTGTGCGGAAGGCGCAAAAGCTTAACTGTACCTTTACCTCCCACTACTCCGTTTTCATGGATAAAACTATGTCCCGGCCACTTAAAATAGTAACTCAGAGACAAATAACGACCCAAGGCCAACTCCTGTTACCTCGTGAAATCGTGCGCCAGCTCTGAAGAGAAGATCCAGTTTGCCACCGCAGCACAGTCGACAATCTGTGTCCGAATCATCTTGTCCACAAGCACGGCGATCATCTACGTTTTGGGAAAGACACAGCAGTCATTCCAGCATGGCACGGACTCGCGCACACAGTCTGCGTGCAGTATCCCAGCCTCCCATAAAACCAGAGACGGGCTGATGCAACTCCGAGGTACTGATGCTACTGGCTAATTTCATATACTTGAGGAAGCCGAGTAGCCTGGCCTTAAACTACCCAAATTAGGGGATCTGTATCAGTTACATAAAGCGTTCTGGTTTTTTTTAATAACGTTTTCAACTTCTTGTGAAAGCAATGGATCGCGGTTAACATACCTCCTTCCATACAAAAGCAAAAACCCAGAAGCATCCTAGCTGGCAGTGAGGCACCAGAGACACAATTCCCTGGTATCTGACACGGAAGTACTCAAACCAGAGGAAATATGCCCGTCGGATCACCGTGACGCAGGAGCTGCTGTCAGCCCACCCTCCCTGAAAGCGGCAGCTTCCCTACAGGACCTACCCGTTCCGGGACGGAGGCCGGCTGCCTCGCTAGAGGCGCTGCCGTGACCCTGGGGGGTGGCAAGCACGCCAGCAGGCAACTGCAGAGAGGAGCTACGGCCTACAGCAGTTGCGGGCTGTTCAGAAAAAAGGCTTATCTGAGTTACTCATGAACGCCGCAGCATCTAAGAACCACAGCCCGCACTGTACTTATCCCTACAGCCACCCATTGTCAAATAAGGAAGTGTAACAACGCTCCTTTTAAGGAAGGGGAATTAAAATAACTGAATGAATCATACAGAAGACTCAGCACTCAACTTCCAAATCCCAGGATAGCACCCTATGCTCTGTCTGTCTTCCTGTATTGCCAGGAAGAATTTCTGATTACTTAGCCTGATCTCCCAAGAAACACAGACCTAGGATTTTGGGAAAACGTTTCACCTCCAAGTTTAAAAGTTTCTCTTTATGAATTCACTGCTGCAACCTCTCTTCGAGGTCCAGGGACTAGTGACTGTACGGCTGACGACGGCCTGCAGGACAGGCCGCGCATCGGCACTCCGTGCCTGGAGAGCGCCTGAACCCGACCCGGCCCGGGAGCAGAGCCAGCAGCATGAAACCAGCCCCTGCACCCCTGTCCTGCTGCCCAGGTACCACTCCTCCGTGTGCCAGGGAGGCTGGGGACTCACAACAGGAGGTGCTCGACCAGAAGCAAAAGCCTCAACCGCAACCAGTGCAAGGGAGGAACATCTAAGTAGAATCTGAAATTAAGGAGACCTTCCCAACTTCTGCACTTGATACTGAAGGCGATCTTGACCTGTTCATAAAAATCCAGCGTGACTTTAGTTTGGGTTTGAAACCTCCACCTCAGCTTGGTCAGGCTGGAGTACGAAGGAATGAAGAGGAAGAACATACGGGTATGAGGCTGCAGAAGCATCATTTGTTCTGATCCAGTGCCAGCAGAAATTAGGTCAGACTAATTGACACATTCCTGAGGTCTGTCATTTGGGTAGGAAGTTCAATACTCCTTTAAAAACCCTGGGTTTTGGATGTTTTTACTGTACTTGGAAGGGATGTGACATCTCGCGCTGGCATCTTTCAGGTGCCCAGCTTTTCCCCCGGGGAACAGGCCGCAGGCCCCGCAGGAGATGCAGGGAACCCCTGGTTCTCAGCGGCATCGCTCCCCCAAGTCTGGCCGCTGCAGCCAAGAGGTTCGGTCCGCCGTCGAGCACGGTGTCGTGCAACACCAGCGCACCAGTGAGGGAAACAACGAATGCCAGCAAATTCAGCCCCAGCTCCTTACCGGTTTCTATTTATAGACGAATGACAGCTGAGGGAGAAAACAACTGCTGTGAAGAAACTCAACAGCTTAAACAAGAGGCATTTTCATAGGTCTTTTAGGGCGTTATTTCCTCTGGCTGAAGAACGAGGGTAATGGTGACACCGTCAGACGGATCGCTGTGAACAGCCCCTGACGGCAGCGCTGCTGCCTGCCCACGCACAGCAGCGACTCCGCGTCAGCTCTCTGCAGTCACCCCGGGAGCCATGGGGGGAAAAAGGCAGCCCTAACACCCCCCAGGGTCCCACACTTGTAAGAATGCGGCCTGCTTCCGATACAAGAGCTACACCTTACTTCAGCGTACCCGTCTACACTGTTTTCCACCTGTAAACAGAAACAGGATTTTAGCAGAAGTTATGCTCTCGTGTCAAGGAGCAGAGTGCGGGTCTGGGTCAGGGTGACAGCCTCTGAGCAGGAAGCAGCCTCACTGATGGCACACATTTCATGTCCAGCCTTCATTTTGGGCACTAGCAACAAGACAAACACAGGTCGAACTTCTCTTCGAGGAAGATGACAACAGACAAGTCACTTTTCAAGTACACACAGCAAACCGCGAGGCTTTTTATTAAATACGAGCTCTGTTGGTTGAAACACACCGAGGTGCTTGACACCGCCACCTCTTACCTGGGGGTGATTCTTCCAGACCTCGTACACAACCCTCAGAACGTGGAGTTTCCCCTCATCGCTTTCAGCCAGCGTCTTGAAGACTTCATGAAACCTTTCAACAGACCCAACAGTCAGCGGAGGGGTTGGGATTGGGTCAAGAGCAGGTGCAAGGCGAGCGCTTTGGATCGGCCGAACGAAAAACCCTTGTGACCATCAGCAGAAATTCTGAACAACGACTCCCCGGAAAACAGAACCGGCCTGAGTTAAAGCAGGCCGGAGAGACGTGACAGCTCCTCAAGCACCTTACATCTTAGCGGGGAACCTACTCCCTGACGCTGGGCTGCGTCTCTCCTACTCCAAAGAGCAGGAGGCACTTCCATCGGCCGTGTGCTTACCTATAGAATCACGGAACGGTTTGGGTTGGAAGGGACCTTAAAGATCATCCAGTTCCAACCCCCCTGCCATGGGCAGGGACACCTTCCACTAGACCAGGTTGCTCCAAGCCTCATCCAGCCTGGCCTTGAAGACATCCAGGGATGGGGCATCCACAGCTTCTCTGGGCAACCTGTTCCAGTGCTCCCCACCCTCTCTGTGAAGAATTTCTTCCTGATATCTAATCTAAACCTCCCTGATTTCAATTTGTACCCATTACCCCTTGTCCTGGAGCACAACTGGCTGCCCTCTGACCCTCAGACCCTCCTCGATACGTGCTTCCGTAACTCTGGACACTTACCAACTGCCTCTTTTCGGAGGAAATGCTGTTAAAAGCCCCTGTTTTCACAGTTACGCTGGCTGCTACGCAGCACGCACGACCCAGCTTATTGCAACCGAACGATAAAGCACGAGAGGGTCGTTTTGATCTGGCGGCTGCCGCTGGGCGCCTGCCGCTGCCGAAAACACGGCGCCTCCACACACTCCTACCACCCTGCCTCTCGTACCGCTGACCGCCGGTTCCTGCTCCCTATCGACACTGCCTCCACCGAGCTCCCAGGTGCGCGTTTCTGTAACAGCTTTATGCCTCTTGAAGAACAGACAGAAAAACAGCTCGCTAAGAAGCACGTGACCACCTTTCATGTATCTGGACCACCTAAGATCAACTCCAAAGCTCACAGGATTAAAAATGAGCAAAATGAGATAAAGTAACTAAAGAAGGTGCAGTAAACTCTTTAAAGGTTGAAGCATTTCTGTAAGGAGATGCACTCTGGCTACCCAGTCATTCAAATGCAAAGAGAAATCCACATTCCTCACCACCATCAGCAAACAGGTAATTAAAACCGTAACAACATTCCCAACCTGTCCCACCGGTTCGACTCAGACCACGTGGCTGTACACACTCCTGTTCATTCGGTTCACAGACATAACCCACGCCATTCCTTCAGAAAGCGGGGTCGTTAGCACCCTGCTCGTGCTGCCCCGTGCAGCCCCTCACACACGGCTGACCCGGTTCTTCCCCCAGGCATTTCACAGCTCTCTGAGCCCCGGAATAACGCAGACATTATACTCACTTTGCCAGGGCGCTGAAGGAGTGGCTGAAAGACTTTGCAGCTAGATGGAGCAGAGTCTGAACAAAGACTTCTATTTTCAGGGGGTTGAAGGTAAATCCTTCATCTGCAAGTGGTTTAAAATTGAAACTGTTCAGTACTTCAAGTAGAGCACGTAAGCTACTCACAAAACTGCAGAGATAACTTATGGGTTTAACTCATTTCACTAGAAGTTGCATCAAACGAGTCACTGTTTTGCAAGGCAGAGCAGGGAGCTAGCGGCACAGACTCCCCAAAACGTGCAGCTGTTCAGGCTCCCATTTTGCCACCGGGAAAACGTGCAGGAAGGGTTCCAGGTCCGTGAAGAAGCCGCCAGAGGCACAGCCGCCCCGCCAGTGTCTAACGGCACCGGGGGACAGCAGCAGAGCGAGAGCCGAGGGAACTGCAGTTACGCATCGAGGCCTGGCAGACCGTGCAGGAGCGTGGGTGAGGAAGTGAGGGTGATAAAGACACGGGGGTTGGCTATTTATGGCACGGGAGGAGGGCGCAGAGCAGGTACGGGAAGGAGGGGTGAACGGTGCCACGTCCCCCCCTGCAGCCGCCACTGAAGAGAGCAGCAGGGAGGGTGCTCAGCAGTGGGCGATGCCTAAAGCACATCAGGAAACAAGACTGTGAATCCCAGGGAAATAAAAGGATTGTCGCTGCTCTCTGCTTGCGTAATACACCATCTGCAAACACGACAGAAATGCCGAGGCCATCCCCACGGTGAAGATCACTTCCCGATTCCCTGTCTCGCAGCCCTAGCCCCCAGAACACGCAGGCTTTAGGAATGCTGTAGCGATGCAACGTTGCCAGTGGCAGCCACGCTAAAAAGGGCCGAGTGCAGCCCCACGGCGAGTCTGTACCGAGGGAAGGCTGCTGCCAGCACGCCGGCCGTCTTCTCTGCCCTGGGACCGCAGCGGGGGAGGGAGCTCCCAGACCGCAAGCGCTGAGGATGACAGCGCTGGCTGCGCTCTGCTGCTGAAGGCAGAGCAAACGTTAAATTCTTTCGAGCTACCTCTGTCAATAATCACGAGCAAACACATCCCAAGCACCGGGATATCCTCGTTAAGAAAAACAGACCTCCCTCTGCACGCGAGAGGTTTACAGCAAACCTCCACCGTGGTGTATTATTCCCATTTACTGACCGATTCAAACCAACTATCAGAAGGAAGAGCAGACAGTTCTGTTCTCCTCCACACCCACAGCACCCCAGGATGGCAGAGCAGTTCACACACAGAAGGAATTATGGCCTGCCAAAGCATAACAGCATGTGTCTTACCATCATCATCGTCCTGGTTCGGGTTAGGCACATCTTTTAAAATGCCGAAGATTTCATCATTGCTGGCCTTATTTTTAATTGCGATGGTCAAACAGAGTGCCACAGTATACCCAGGAAGGGACCCTGAACAAAAACAAGAGGTCAAAAAGGTGTAGAAGGCAAGCCAGTTTCTCTAACTTCGGTTTGCCTCTCAGAGAGACACACACGCTTCCCAGCTACACCTAAAACTGGTTCCAACGTCACTGTCCACATCCCTACTCCATAAAACTGCTCAAGATGTTTCCTGGGCTTCACATTAAATTCAAGACTTCCAGCAGAAGCTTGTTGTGGTTTAGCCTCAGCCAGCAACCAAGTACCAGAGAGCTGCTCGTTCACCACCCCCCTCCCCAGTGGGATGGGGAGGAGAATTGCAGGGAAACACTTGGAAGCTCATGGGTTGGGATAAGAATAATGTAAGAATTTAAAATAATTTAATGAAAATAACGACACTAACGATACTAACAATACTGGTATTACCACTAAGCATATGTGATGAGAAGAATGGAAACAAAACCAGGGATACAGCTGCTCACCACCGGCCCACCACCGCCCAGCCAGACCCCGCGCAGTGGGA